TCAGCAGCCGGAGGTTTGGATCGGTTTACATGTACAACCATGCACCTAACACTTAATGATCACCAGTAATGTTCACATTGCTGCAGACAGTGGTCAGCTCCGCCTCCTGCATCGTCCGCATGTGGCAATGGCAAGCTTCCTGCCGTTGAACCGGTTTCTCCCCTTGGCTTCCACCCCCCTTGCTGGCCCTCTTCCTGCGCCTGAAGCCTGTGTTGGCGTCCGCCGGAGTTGAGTCCACGGTCATCTCTTCCTTCTCATTCTCACTCCCTCAACAAACCCACCTACTGTCATCACTTCAGATGGCATTTGTGCCAGCAAGGCCCGGCTTGTGTGATGGGCAGCTCAGACCGCCTTCCTGACCTTGACTGATAGTTCCGCATGACATTCTCCACTTGGGTTTCTAATAGACTTCGTAAACCCACCGGGTCAAAGACTGAGCTCCTGCCCTTCCCCCAGACCTGCTCCATTTGCATTCGTCTCCCTCGTGGCCACAGCGTCTTTGTCCTTCTAGGGTGCTCAGACCAAGGCTTCAGTCTGCTTTTCCTCTCTGTCAGGAGGTCCTTTTGGCTCTCTCTGCAAACTACATGCAGAATCCACCCACACTTCTCACCTCCGTGGCTGCTGCCTGGTCTGGGTCAGAGCACTCCCCTCCTGCTCCACTCGTGCCTCCCTGTGTTATTTCCACACAGAGCATCAAAACAAGGGTTCTCAGACATTTTCCAAAGGCTCTCCCTTTCACTCTGCAAAAGCAACAGCGCCTGTGAAGTCCTACATTGTGTGGCCTCTGATACCTGTGGGACCTCATCTCCTGCCTGATTTTCACTGCACCCCAGCCCCACCGGGCACGCACCTCCTTAGGGCCTTTGCACTGGCTGTTTCTTGCGTGTAGATTGATCTTCCCCCAGACAGCCTGGGGCCAGCTCCATTTCCTCCTTGAGGTCTTTGTTCAACTACTATCCCAATGAGCTCTTACTTAAAACTTGCAGCCTACCCTGCACCCTCCTACCGTACAATGTAGGGTGGAAAATTCACAAGAGGAAAGACTTTTTGTCTGTTTTGCTGCCTGGCACACAGGAAACCCACAGTGCGTATTTGTTAGATGATATGAATAGATCTTAGCCTTAAGTTAAGCTGAAATGTTTCTGTTCCCACAGTAAAAAAGCCAGTGTCGGAGAGTTACTGCTCACAGGACCCAGAGACAAAGGAAGACTTAGGAGGTGTCAGACAATAGAAAATAGCTGTCCAGAGCCTTAGACCCAAGAAGGACCCAACTGCAAACGTTCCCTCTGACTGCACAGAGTAGAACACACATGCTTTGTCCTGCATTTCGCTCTTTCCGAGGCTAGGGAGCCTTGCCTGCTCTTACGTTCCGGAATTTGTTTGCCTGTAAAACTGGGTTCCTGTGCGGTTTTCAGATTCCACTCATGTCTCTCTCACCCTGTGCTTTGCTGGGTGGAAGCTTCAGTTGTGTTCTCAAGTCACTTGTGTCACTGTTCGCAACACCGCTCCGTCTTTCTCTGGAACCGTGGTGAGCAGAATGTCTGACAGCGCACCGCCCGAGGACAGAGCATGGTTTGGACGATCAGGGCGAAGCCTCCTTTCCTCATTCCCAAAGTCCTCTCCACTGATGTGCGACACTAGAGCGCCGCTGCGGGCCTGAACAGCATGCTGCGATGCAGGCCTGCGTCCCCGCTCTTCCCTGAATGCTCTCACGCCTTAGCCGCCCGAGCGTCGTCACTGTTGGCGTTCCGTTATTCTTCCTTCCGTCTCCCCCTCTCGGTGTTCTCGTCACCGTGTCTGGTGCTTTATTCCCTTTTACCATAATGGAGTGTGTCTTCCCTGTACTTGGTCTCTAGCTTTTGTAGTGCGTTTTTATTAATATCTAATCCATCCTTTTACATGTCTGCATGTTCTGTGATTGTTTCTTCTCAGAAATTAAGGAGCTGTGATGGATTCTTGTAGTTTTGGTTTTCCCCTCTGCTACCGGCATACTGATCTCAGTGCTGGGATCACAGTCCCGAGTTCTCAGCCCTCTGGCTGCCTATTGGGCATCTCGGTTTCCCCCTCTTCCCCATGAATGTCCTGCAGGCCTGAGCCCCTCGCTGTCCTCTCCAGTTTGAATAAGAGCTTCCCCTTGTGTCACGTGGCCTGAACCTGGTCTGATTCTTCCAAACATTTAAAGCCCGTGGGTGGTTCTCTTGGGCACTGGCCGTACACTCGGGAGTGGCTGAGGCTTTGGGATTGCCCAGGTCCGCTGCGGGGCCGCGGGCATACGCCCTGCACAGCCCGGGATAGAGATGCACGCCCAACTTAGATCTCCTCTGCGTCCATTCTTGAGTTCTCAGTAAGTTTATCTCATGCATTTCTGAGCGCCTTTAATTACCAGCTCCAGACTGATTCTAGTGGACTAATCGTCGTGAAGCACAGTGACGACCTCCAAGCCCCAAACTGTTCCCTTTGCCAGCAGATTAACGAGGGCAGCCTAGAAGTCAGGGGAACACGTGTCTGAATATCCTCTCTCCGTCTCCTCCAGGCATCTCCCCTCAGATGGAGGTCACGTGTGCGCCTGCCCCCACAAGCACGGTGTCCTCCATAGGCAACACGAACGGAGAGGAGGTGGGGCCGTCTGTCTACCTGGAAAGGCTAAAAATCCTCCGACAGCGATGCGGTCTGGACAACACCAAGGTACCGCTCCTTCCCGCCCGTGTGGGCCGGGGCCCGGCCGACCCGGAGGAGCAGCCCAGTCTCGGTGAGTGATGGTCCGGGGCCACCTCCAGGCCGTCCGCAGCGTTTCTCCTTCTCTCGACAGCAGGATGACCGGCCTCCGCTGACCTCTCTGCTGTCCAAACCAGCCGTCCCTGCCGTCGCCTCCTCCACGGACATGCTGCACAGCAAACTCTCCCAGCTCCGGGAGTCCCGGGAGCAGCACCAGCACTCGGACCTGGATCCTCACCAGACTCACCCTTCAGGGACCGCGACCACGGCCTCCTCGTCCACAGCTAACATCGATGACTTGAAAAAGAGACTGGAGAGAATAAAGAGCAGTCGCAAATGAAGCCGCCCCTCCCGGCCCCGCAGCTTTAGTTTACTAAACTAGAGTCCTCATAGTTTACAGGGGCCTCGGTGGGCCTGGCGTACACGAACTGGTCGTTTGCGTCCACCGCGGATCTGGGGAGGAGTCACGGCACAAGTGTTGTACATACTCCGCCTCTCCATCAGCGCCCGCCCCTCTAGAAGACTGTCTGTGTATTAGCTTAGTGTACAGACCTGTAAACAGCTGCCCTCCGCTCAGCTCAGACTAGTTTCCGTGCCCTTTTCTTTTTACTTGCTCATTTGTAAAGTTGTCTTAATCTTTCCTATCTTTTAACTATTAGGGCCCCTTTAATAATAGTCTTCCTTTCAGTTTGTGAGCTCTTCTCCTTGTAGCCCTGAAGGGTCACTGTATTCTGTATGAATGCATGGCATGATACAACTAATTTAAGAGTCTTTTATAAATAAAGTTTGCATTAACTATACCTGTCTCCCAAGGTACTCCATGTCTGGGAGTGCTGGGGACGTTCCTGTCACCCATTCTAAAGACCAGCTGGGCACTCAGCCTGTCAGAGAAAGATTAAAACGGCTTGCCTACAGAGCCCCGCCCTGTCTCGCCCCGACGCAGCGCCCTCTTCGCCCTTTGGGAACAGAAGGGACTCACCTCTCCCGCCTTCCCCGCGCAGCTCCTGGCGGGCAGAGAACCCTCACTCTTCCCCCCTCGGAGGTTGGGCCATGGCTTCCCTCCCACCATCACTGTGGTTCCAAGGAGCTCGTGGGCGTCCTGCCTCGTTGCTGCCCAAATGCTCAGGAGATTGCACCCAGGGCCCGCGGGGCGGCAGTGGTTCTCACACTGCGACTGTTCGGGCCGCCAGACTAAAGGAGTGTGGGGGGCTTCGGGGCTTCCTGCCTGGTGACTGGAGTCTCCCTGAGTCGCACCACAGTTGCTTGGGGAGCTCAGTGGGAGTGAAGCCCCCAAAGGCAGCGGAGGAGTCACCGCTGGAGTGAACGCACAGGGCCTCCCTCCAGAGGCGGAAACACTCGGCAGTGCTAAGAGGTTCTGGATTCAGATGGGAGATGTTTGGGCCAATCAAGCCAAGGAAGTTTTCTAGGCGCCCTTTTGTTCAAGAAGTGAAAAGTTAATGGAAAATGAGTTCTTCCTTGATTCCACTCATGGTTTTCAGGTGGCCCCTACGCCGCCTGCGGGAACGTGCCTCTCCCCCTTAGGATGGGAACAGGGGAGGCAGAGGCGGCGTTCGCTGATGGGACGTGGGAGGTGGGGTCTGCGCCGCAGTGGAAGAGCACGTTTAGAGAGCAGCTCTGCTGGGGTCTGAATTCGCTAACTCGGGAAAGCAAGGTGCCCGAGCTCCCAGTGCCGGCAGCTGTGTGGGAGGGAGGCAGTCTGGTGAGAGGCGCGCCCTTGCTCAGAAAGCAGATTTGGGTATGATAACTCTTAGTCCCTCCTCCCTGCTCTGTCAAAGCTCCGGGCTGCAAAGACCTGCAAGCTCACCGAAAGCCCAGTTTGTACTCTGCTTTCTGGCCAACCAGAATCAAGAAATGAGGGTAAGGAACGCAGTCCTACATCTATTCCCTGACGTATTAAAAATGGGAAGGGGAAAAAAAAGCGAGCAAAGGTACCTACCTTAGGTCCCTTTACGCTTCCCCTCCAAGCTCAGGGATGACCCTGCTCAACACAGTCCTCCAGACAGTCACCAACTGATCGGCATTTCACACCAGGTGAAACTCACTGTCACCCACACCTGTCGGCTGTAGTGCCCAGTTCCCCGAGTAACATGCATGCACCCAACGGGAATGGCAGTATGTACAGAAGAAAGGTTAAGTGAGCTGAAAGCATGTAAGGATACAAGTGACCTAAATAACAAGTGAAACGGAATGCTTAAGAATATATCTCCCTTCTCATCAGGAGTGGCACCAGCTCTGCTGAGGGGCCCGTGAACAGCCCTGGGAGCTTGGAGGCTCACATTCACTTTTATTGAGAACTGTAGTTTTAGGAACAAACCACAAAAATAATTCTGTCCCTGGATTGGTTTCTGTGATCTTACAGTGAGGAGCCCAGAATGGGGTGGCCCCCTAACTTCCAGATTGTTCGATGACCTTCCGTATCCACTTCTTCAGGCGGAACACGTGTGTGTAGAAGCCGTATTTTCCATCCCTGTCACAGCCTTCACCCCACGAGACGATGCCCATTTGATACCAGCGGTTGTTAAAGGGGCTCTGAGGAAGAAACACAGGGTTTTCAGTAGTTAAGTCCAAGGTGATGTCAGCATTACCCTATCAGGCAACTGTTTCTGAACTTGGGCCCCTCCCAACCCACCCCACCCAAAATCCACCCCCAGCTCCTGGTCTTTAGAGAAGCTAGCTTACCTTCATGACAAACGGTCCCCCACTGTCACCTTCACAAGCATCCCCTCGTTTCCCTTCATTGGGCTTGTAACCTTGAGAGAGAACAGCAGTACTCAGGAGCACGGCTCACACTCCAGCCCCTTAAGGAGACACACCAGGAAGCATTCCTGTGACCCCTTCTAGTCACTCTCGACTCTCCTCACTTCCCTGCCCCCACACCAATTCTTTTGCAAATCTTGTCAGCTCTCTTCTCAACATGGGTCCCATATCCAGCCACTTCCCACCACCTCTACCCCTGGTCACACCACATGCACTTCTACCTGGAACTAATGCTGCTTTTGTGCACCTACAGCCAATTCTGCACCCAACGGGCAGAAGGGCTTAAGTATCTTAGGTTTACAGGTAGCTGAGGACAATGGTGACTGCCTTTGTCCAAACTCCCCACGTATCCTCCACAAACAATCCAGAACAACATGAACAAAAAAGCTACACAAAGAAACCACATCTTCAATATACCTAGAATATAGAGAACACCCAAATTTGAAATCCACCTGACATCTAATTGTATACACCTAATCGTAACTTATGTGCAGATGGAGATAAAATATCTTAGATTTTTTTAAAAAATCAAGTGCAATTTAAATATAAACCCAATTGAAATGTAAACCCTTGTAAATAATCCCAAATCTACAAAGTGAATAGATGAAAACTAAAGAGATCCATCCAAAGATACTGTAGGGAAATAATAAGTACAAAAAAACCTCAGCTAATAAAAATTCTCCCCCAAAACATAACCATGAAACAGAAGATCACTGGAACTCAAGCAAAGTTTTGCAATGTGACAAAACACCTTGACTCAGAAATTGAAAAATGTAAAATAAATGGGCAAAACAGTAAGAAGAAATGCAAACCAAAAAATGGTTGAAATGGAATTCAGACCAAAGAAGCAATCTGAGTCCCTCAGGAAGAATAATGAAACAATGAAAAAGAACTAATATCTACAAATATCCAATGAAATGTTGCAGAAATGCAAGGAGACCGAACACACAGACCAAGAGGTCCCTGGGCACCTGGCACACTGACCTGAAGCTCTCTGCTCTCGGGCGCGCCCTGGTAAAGCTGTTACAGAGACCACAGGGACAAAGGAAAACCCTCGAGGCCTCCAAGTGAAACAACTGAGCACTTCACCAGGTCCAAACAGTTCCAATGACATCGGACTTTTCAAAACCAACACACAAAGCCAGCAATAATCAAGATATATTTCCCAAAAATCCACGGAAGGAAAACGTGGCTGTGGATCCCATGTGCTCCCAAACAGTGTCCAGGCGGCAGAAAAACAATGCATAAGACTCAGGAAATCCAGGGACTTCCGGCCAAGATGGAGGCATAGGTAGACACACTGTGCCTCCTCGCACAACCAAGATAGAGATAACAATTTAGAAAGAGAATAACAACCAGAACTGACAGAAAATTGATGCGAATGGAAGTCCGACAACCAAGAAGTTAAAATAGGCACGTTCATCCAGACCGGGAGGAGGGGCAGAGTCAGGCAGCTGGGCTCGGGTTGAGGTGCAGAGAGCAGAGAGCATTGGGACCAGGTGTATAAGGCATCCAGAGTGTGCAAGACCACAGCAGGTGGACCCTGAGCGCTCAAGCGACAGCTGGCAGACCCCGACCAAGGGGTGGCAACGGGCAGACCCAGCAAGGCAGTGATTGTGAAGCAAGGCACTGTGCGCAACCCAGGATCCCAGCGCTGGGAAACAGAGCCTCGGGACACTGATTGAAAACACCTGTGGGGGTTGAGGCGCAGGGAGAGACTCCCAGCCTCACAGGAGAGGTCCTTGCAAAGTCCCACAGCGTACACAAGCCTATCCACATGGGAATTGGCACCAGAGGGGCCCAGTTTGCTCAGGGGAAGCAGCAGAAGGGACTGAAGTCCGACAGAGACAGGAACAAGCGCCATTGTTCCCTCCTGAACCCCGTCCCCACATGCAACGTCACAACCCAGAGACTGGGGTGCCCTTCCCTGGTGAACACCTAAGGCTCCGCTCCTCATATATAACAGGCTTGACCAGACCAAAAGAAAAAAAAAGATGGCTCAAACAGAAATGAAAGACCCAGAGCTAGTTTTTTTAAGCGACCGAGAGATAGCCAACCTATCAGATGCACAGTTCAAAGCACTAGTGATCAGGATGCTCACAGAATTGGTTGATTTTGGTCGCAAATTAGATGAAAAAATGAAGGCTACAATAAGTGAAATGAAGAAAAAGGCACAGGGAACCAACAGTGATGGAATGAAAGCTGGGTCTCACATCAATGGAGTGGACCAGAAGGAAGGAAAAAAAATACAACCAGAAAAGAATGAAGAAATACGAATTCAAAAAAATGAGGAGGGGCTTAGGAACCTCCAGGTCATCTTTAAATGATCCAACATCTGAATCATAGGGGTATCAGAAGCAGAAGAGGAAAGCAACAAGTGGAAAACTTATTTGAACAAATAATAAAGGAGAACTTCCCCATACTGGCAAAGGAAATAGACTTCCAGGAAGTCCAGGAAGCTCAGAGTCCCAAAGAAGTTGGACCCAAGAAGAAACACACCAAGGCACATCAGAATTACATTAGCCAAGGTAAAAATGAAGGAGAGAATCCTAGAAGCAGCAAGAGATAAGGAGACAGTAACCTACAAAGGAGTTCCCATCAGACTATCAGCTGATTTCTCAAAAGAGACCTTACAGGCAAGAAGGGGCTGGAAAGAAGTATTCCAGGTCATGAAAGGCAAAGACCTACATCCCAGATTGCTCTATCCAGCAAAGCTTTCATTTAGAATGGAAGGGCAGATCAAGTGCTTCCCAGATAAGGTCAAGTTAAAGGAGTACATCATCACCAAGCCCTTATTTTATGAAATGTTAAAAGGACTTATCTAAGAAAATGAAGATAAAAAAACGTATAGTAAAATGACAGCAAACTCACAATTATTAACAACCACACCTAAAACAAAAACAAAAACAAACTAAGCAAACAACTAGAACAGGAACAGAATCACAGAAATGGAGATCACCTGGAGGGTTAGCAACAGGAGTGGGAGGGGGAGAGAGGGGGAAAAGGTACAGGGATTAAGTAGCATAGATGGTAGGCAGAAATTAGACAGAGGGAGGGCAAGAATAATATGGGAAATGTAGAAGCTAAAGAACTTATGACACATGGACATGAACTAAAAGGGGGGAATGTGGGTGGGAGAGGGTGTGCAGGGTGGAGGGTAATGAAGGGGGTGAATGGGACAACTGTAATAGCATAATCAATAAAATATATTTTTAAAAATAAAGATAAAAAAAGAAATGTAAAAGAAAAAGAACTCAGGAAATCCTCCACTCGAAACCCCTCTTGAAGAACCGACATGCAGACAAGCTTCATCCAGCTGAGACGAAGGCTTCAGCAAAAAAACTGTTCCAACAAGTAGGAAAAAATGCAGCTAAAAATGAGAGGAGAAAAGGGAAAGTAAACTCAGCGACTGTTCAGAGCTAATAGGCGGGAGAACCACGGAAAGATTACATAAGAAAAGGAACTAAGGGCGTTCCGGAAAGGTGTGAGTCTAAAGATAATCAGTAGAACAAAAATGTAACCTCCCTAAACAAATATATTTTTTAAAAGAAAAACTCTCATAGGGAAAAACATAGCAAATGAAACATAATACATGTAAATATTATAAAATAATGAGTTAATACTCATTCAATCATATATATGTAAATGGGCTTAACTTATTACAAAACAAAAAGTTTTTAATTTGACTCAAAGCAAGACTCAACTATGCTGTATCTGTATATATATAGGCATATATATAGATATATAGACAGATATATAGATATATATAACAGACTGTGATCCATAAAAGCTATAATTAAAGAAATGGGCAAAGGTATATCAGACCAGTGGAAACAAAAACAGAGCAGGGGTGGTGACCCTAAAATTGAAAATAAAGAAGGACACATTTAAAGCTAAAAGCCACAATTACAATGAATAAATAAGAGTTATGATTATCTGTACCAGATAACAGCAATCATATTTATAAAGTTAAAAACAGACTGTAAGCAATGCAAAGAGACAGAAATATATTAATAATAGAATTTAACACACAAAACTCAGTACAAAACAGAGCAAGTGAACTGAAAGTAAATAAGGATATAAATGCTGTAAATAACAAGTGACAAGGTGCAATTATGACTATATACTAAACGACATGTATAAGTAAACACACCTACACACCTCGAACGCCTATGTACCATCCACAGAAATTAATCCAACAGCTGTCTCAAAAAAAATCAGTTGCATAAAGTAGAAATATTACAAACAATACTCTGATTGTAATGCATCAAAACTCAAAATTATTAACAAAATCAAAATACAAAAGGCCCCTCCCATCTGGGAATTTAAAAACCACCTATTAAACAACTTTTGGGTAAAAGAGAAACACAAACTAAAATTACAGAATTTCTAAAAAAATTGCCCTGGCTGGTGCAGTTCATTGGATTGAGTGCCAGCCTGCAAATCAAAAGGTCACCAGTTCGAGTCCCAGTCAGAGCACATGCCTGGGTTGCGCGGGCCAGGTCCCCAGTTGGGGGCATGAGAGAGGCAAGCAATCACTGTTTCTCTCACACATCATGTTTATCTCCCTCTCCTTCTCCCTCATTTCCCCTCTCTCTAAAAAGAAAATATTTTTAAAAAATAAATTAATTAATTAACCAAAGTGTCAGCTCAAAAAATTAGAAAAAGAAGAAAGTAAACCCCAAAAGCCTAAGAAAATTTTTGAAAAGGTAAAAGCAAAAATTAATGAGCTAGAAAATTGAAAAGTAAGCCTAAATAATAAGCCAAATTCCTAGGTAGCTTTTGCCTATTTTGGCCACCACTAGCCAATTTACTCAAGAGAAATATAAATGTATGAAGTACGGTGCCAAGGAGAAAAAGTCCCAGGACACCGCATCACGGCGGAAAGGTACCAGAGAGACCCGGACAAGTGGGGAGGCTGTTCCTTGTCCTTGGATAAGATGACTCAACGGCAGAAAGATGCCGGTTCTTCCTAAATTAATTTCTAAATTTAATGTAATCCCGATAAACATTCCGACAGTCCTTTCTACAGAGCTAGACAAGGTCATACCAAAGTTCACATGGAAAAACAAATAAGCAAGAATTTCCAGGAAAATTCTGGAAAAGAAAAACTACGAGAGACGAGCCCCAACAGATGCTAAAGCACTCTCTAAAGTCTCTGTAGTTAAAACGAGACAGTGCTTTACTATAAGGAACAACAGACCAGGAGAACCAAATAGAACGTCTTCTGAAGTGCACGTAGAAATCCAGTGTGTGGCAAGGGCAAGCTCGAAGATAGGATTTTTAGTAAATGGTGTGGCCAGCTGGTGAGCCACCTGGGAAAAGATCGATTCAATCCACACCTTGCTTCACACACAAGCACAAAGTCCAGATAACCCAGGGACCTGTGTGTGGAACAATGGAACCACGCGCCGGAAGGCAGCAAGTGATTTTCTCTACCACCTACACACAAGGAAGGGTTTTCTGACTCTGTTAATAAATATGACTGCATAAAAATTTTTAATTGAGTGACAAAAGTTATAAAGATTAAAAAACCAACATAGTGGGAGAAAACATTTGCAACACATATCACAAATAAAGGCCTAATATCACTAATAGGTGAAGAACTCTTTTTTAAAAAAACAGATTTTATCTATTTATTTTTAGAGGGAAAGGAGAAAGAAAGAGAGGGAGAGAAACATTAATGCGTGGTTGCCTCTCACACGCCCCCTACTGGGGACCTGCCCCACAACCCTGCATGTGCACTTACTGGGAATCGAACCTTTGGGTCACAGGCCAGCACTCAATCCACTGAGCCACACCAGCCAGGGATAGATGAAGAACTCTTAAAAACTGATGGGAAAGGGAGAAAAATAGGCCACAAAATTGAAGAGATAATTCACAAAAAATGATATAAAAATGGCCACTAAGTATATGAAAAGATGTTTAAGTGGAAATTATCTAAATGCCTACATACAAGAAATGGTTGAATAAACTATGGGTACATACACATAATGGGGTATAAAAAAATTTTTTAGTAGCCACATTAAAGAGTAAGGAAAAACTGTATAACCAATATAGAGTGAATTTCCAGACTGCAAAAAGTAGGGAAAAAAGCAAAGTACAGGAGTATATCTATAATATGCTGCCCTATGTGCAAGAAAAGGAAGTAAGAAAATACACATGTGTCTGCTTATGCGTGCAAAGGGAACACAGGGAGAACAAACCATGAACTACAGACACAGCTTGTCTAGCTACCGGGCCTGGGCGGAGATGGGGCGGAAAGGAGGGCGTGGGAACAGGGTAGGAGGGAAGGGGAGTGTCAGTTCTCTGGGCACCTGTTTCAAAATGTCTGAGTTTTACAACCATTTGGATACTCCAGAAGTAAACACATAGGAACTACAAAGATGGGAGGGGCCCCACATTAAACACAACTTTAAATAACGCAGAGGCGGGGTGGGGCCGGGGGTCGGGGAGAACTAGCCCAGGTCACTTTGAACACAGTAGGTTGATTGCATGTCCTCGCGCCGAGGACAGGAACGGCTGCTGAACTCCAGTTAGCAGGATTGGCTGTCCCGGCTACGGAGGAGTTAGTTCTCAAACTGTGTGTTCTGGTATCAATCAAAAAGCCAATACATGATGGAGAACAGGAGTCAGGTTTCTCAACGTCCACCAAGAGTTATAAAGTGTACAAAGGGAGAGGTTAACCCTGTTGGATGGCTAGGAGAGGCTTCGGTCCGAATTCACGGTTTTAGACAGACAGACAGACAGACAGACAGACAGAAAAAGTAGGTACAGATGTTGGTGTGCACAACACACATTTCTAGAGCTTCCCGTGGAGAGGGTCTAGACACCCTGACACTGCAGAAGCGATGCACTCACCCGCCCCCCAGATCCTGGCTTCTAAACACTGTTCTCCCCCAGGAGGAAAGTCGGATGGACCGGGAACAGCTTGCTGGGCCAAAAGAAAGAAAGCACCCAGACAATGACAGGGACAGCTCCCAAAGTCTCAGATGCCAGGTCGCAGTGACTCCCCCTGGCCATTCCAGGGATCCTCTGAACATCAAAACCTCAAAACAGATAATGACAGTAACAAGTTACGACCCTTGAAGTAAGGTAAGGCCCCATGAGGCCACACTGATACAATGAAAGAAAGGAGCGGTCTTCCCTATCATGAAAAAGTAACTAAGAGCCCTGGCTGGCATAGCTCAGTGGATTGAGTGTGGGCTGTGAACCAGGCATCGCAGGTTCGATTCCCAGTCAGGGCACATGCCTAGGTTTCAGGCCATGGCCCCCAGCAACTGCACATTGATGTTTGTTTCTCTCTCTCTTTCTCCTTCCCTTCCCTCTCTAAAAATAAATAAATAAATAAAATCTTTTTTTTAAAAAGTAAATAAATGCAGAAGTGAATTAGAAAAGCACCATTATAGTTGGGAGAACAATTTGATGAGAAATAGTGTCAAAGTTTCTCCCCATAAGATACTTACTAATTCTAAAGGGGAAAGCAGAACTTGACCGTGAGAAACCTGGCAGAGGCAGACACCACCTTCACCCAGAGGTCAGAGTCAAGCTCACCAGCTGTGAGACATAAGGACACCACGCGCCTGCTGATGGGACGCGCCGAGGACTCAGGACCCATCCTCACTGAGCCTGAATCCCATCGCGAGGAACCTTAGCCAGGCCCAGCGGAGGGCCAACCTGCAGATTCACCGGCCTGTACCCACCAAACACGTCAAGGTCATGGAAGACAAGATTAACAGTTAAATAAGGGGCAATCCTGCCCTGGATCCCAGATGAGAAACACATTTTTTTTGTCTTTTGCTATAAGAGACCTTAGCAAGTAGGACAGTGGAAGACATTTGAATAGCGTCCGCAGACGAGACAATGGCTTTGTGTCGTTATGAATTTTCCGACGCAGTGACTACACTGCAGTCCTGTAAGACGGCGCCCCTGTGGTTTTGGAGACGCTCAGCCCAATGGGTGGGAAGGCCCCCTGGGAACAGCTCCCCCTCTAACAGTGCGTGTGCGCACACACCACACTGAGCAGGGGAGCAGGGTCTCACTGCTGGTGTACAGGAGTTCTTAGTATTATTTTTGCAACTTTTCTGTGAGTCTGAAATTACACTAAAATGTAAAAAAAAAAACAAATTTAATTAAGTTAGGCCATTTATTCGCCTGTCCCAAGCCCTCCAATCCCTGCTTATCTCAGTAAAAGCCCGAGTCCTCCCAGGCCCTAAGGAAAGTGCTCGCCTCTGCCTGCCCAGCTGTCTCCCCGCCTCCACTGCCGTCTGTCCAGCGTTTACTGCTGAACTCAGCCCCTCGGGCCTCCCTGCTCCTCCTCAGGAGCGCCTGCCCTCAGGGCCTTTGCACCTGCTGTCCCCTCAGCCTGCAGCGCGCACCCCCTAGACTGACGCGCCCCTGCAGTTCTCCCAGCCTCTGCTCAGACATCACCTCCGAGAGGGCTTCTCCAGCCTTCTGCAGCCACACTCTGCGTGGAAGGTCACCCGACCCCATCTCTCTCACCCTGACTTTCCGCTGCCTCATTTCTCTTCCTAGCAGGGACGCTCCTTTGGGTCTGTTTCCGGACACTCGCCCCCTCTAGGAAAGCAGCTCTCTGAAGACACAGGCAGGCACGTTTGTGTCCTTGCTGTGCGCCCTGGACCCCCGTGTGGGTCGCAGGAGGCGCTCAAGAGGTATTTGCTGAAGGCCTGAGCAAATGAGTGGCTTTTGCTCCCCCTCCCACGGCCTCTGGCTGCTTCCTGCACTCACATGTACTGACAACTTACCCAGGGCCCGACACCACGGCTAACACTCTGTATACACTTCCTGAACCCTCATGCAACCTTCCGGAATAGAAGCTTTTATCTCCACTTTATAGAGAAAGAAACTGAGCGCCCAACAGGTTAAGCGGCTTTGCCCAAATTCACGTGGCTTGTAAGTGACTGGAGCCAGGACCTGACCAGGTCTGTGCTCTTAAGACGTCTCCATTCTGCACGCCGCCCCCTCCACCCCCTGCCACCCCGGGGCCCTGCTGCTCCCTCCTGCCGGCCACCCCAGGGACTTGCCGGCACAGAACATGTTGTCGGTGATGTGGATGCGGGTGGAGGCCTTGCAGACCGCACGCTCCACGATGGGCAGGTTCACCACCTGCAGGACGCTGGGCTGCGCCTGGGCAGAGGTTGTCCACACCTCCTTCAGGTTGCCCCAGCCGGTCACCCGCCCTTTGTATCCAGCCTGGAGCAGCCTTTGGGAAAGGGAGACGGACCCGGTGAGAGCCCACCACTCCAGGAGCCTCTGGCCCCAACACCCTCCCTCAGAAACCTGAACCTCAAACACCAGCTCAGAGACTGAGGCCTGGGAAAGGGAAGGACCACTGCGAGGCAGGATCAGGGAGCCCCAGAACCCAGCCCAGACTCCTTGGCTAAAGCCGCCCCTCCGGGCCCCCACCACCACCACCGGCCGCCCCACCTGGATGCCGTCTGCTTGTCAGGCAGGCACACGGGGTGGATGTAGTTGCTGAAGGTGATGGGCTTCCTGAGCTTCAGCAGGGCGATGTCGCGGTCCAGGGTGTCCCTCCAGTTGTACCTGGGGTGGATGTGGATCTTTTCCAGCATGGAGATCTTTTCCATGCCTCGCTCATACCTGCGCAGATCCCAGCAGAGAAACGGACAAGCCATAAGCCACTCAGTAAAAGACAGCGGTTCCCTGAGGAAGGAAACTGCTTGCCCTTGGGTCTGGGAGCCAGGGGGACCCGTGGGCCATGAACGAGGTAGCTCCCTGGTAGCTTCTTCCTGGCCTGAAGCGGCACAGGACTTTGTTGTCAAACAGCCTGGGCAGATGGGGGAGGGAAGCAGGCAGTCGCTCTGGTCCAAAGAGCCCCTTTTCAGAAGCCACCCCTGGGCCACGCCCTGGGGCCTGCAGGGGAGCTAAGGGCAGGCCGGGATGTCGCTCTCTGCAAAGTCCTAGTTTCTCTGACTCCGGCTCCAAGCCCAGATCAGGACGTGGCCACACGGACTCTGCAGCACAGGATGCTGGGTTTCCCGCCGCGAGAGACCTACAGTCGTGGCTCACCCGCCCCCAGAGCACTGGAGCCCCTCCCATCCCTCCGGAGGGCTGAGACCCCCGCCAGACACCCGGGGTCCCCGGTTCTGTACCTGGTGCGGGAATGCTTGCCAATGCGCACCAGAAGGTCATCCTTCGTGAAGTTCTTGTCCCAAGGTGGATACAGGATACAGTGGGCAGCAGTGAGGACCCAGCGGTCACTGAGGAGGCTGGCTCCGCACAACAGCTCCTGGGGCGTCTTCCGGAAAAGCATCACCTGCCTGGGAGGGAGAACAGGAAGAGTCAGAGCTGGGGAGCTGCCCCTCCACCAGCCCTAGAAGCAGAAAGTCCCGTTCTGTTTTTTTTTTTTTTTAAGAACTGAGTGGACAGAACTGCCTGCTAGGCCCAGACCTCAGCTTGTCTTGGCCACTTCTGGAGACTGGGGCTTCCTGCTCATGCGCCCCTCCCCAGCTTCTTCTAGTCCAGACTTGCACTGCTTAGCCCACCTCTGGGGTCAAGTTCTGCTGTGGACTCGACCCCAGTTCTACTGACCCCAGAGCTGTCCATTAGCAGTGCCACTTAAACTCCCTGAGCCTCAGCGATGCCTTCTGCATGTGAGAAGCAATGAACTCAACCTCAAAAGGCTGCTGTTGAGGCTCGAGGAGGTGCTGGGCTCTAGTTACCGCGAGCCCAGGCCTGGGAGGGGAGAGAAGTCTCCTGGGGGTGGGGGGGAAGGGCGGGGGCGGGGCCCCAACGAGAGGGAAGGTAGCTGGGGTCAGGGACGCACCAGGGCGCCAGGCCCATCTCCGCGTCCCAACCCTGCACGATGCGCCCATCGATGTAGGACTCCAGAAGCTCCTCCTCTGTTTTGTCCTCCAGCGACTTCTGCTCGAACAGCGGCCGCAGCCCACAGTCTGTAGAGCGGGGCGGGCGGGCAGTGAGGGGCGGGGCGGAGCGCAGGGCCTGCCCCGGGGCCCTGCACCCACCTGCCGGGCACCTCACCTGCCTCCCCTGCGCCGAAGGTCTTCTCGTTGAAGAAGGGCTGGAACTCTTCCACAGTGGTGCGCCCCTGGACGGCCACGTTCGAGTCCTCATCTGGCCCATTGCCTGTCACGTCTTCCACCGGTTCCTCTGCAGGGACCAAGGCACCAGTCTGGAACAGGACCCGGCCGCCCCTTGCCCGCCCCCTAGACCTCCCCCAAGCCCTGGGCCCCCCTCGGAAACAGTTGGTGTAGAGCAGGGGTGTCAAACTCATTTTCACCCGGCGCCACATCAGCCTCCTGGTTGCCTTCAAAGGGCCTAATGTAACTCTAGGACTGTAGAACTGTAACTGCTCCTTAACAGTTAAACCAAAGCTCGGCGCTGCTGCTGGGTAGAAACAAGGTGCTGGGCAGAATAAAACAAGGTGGAGGGCCAGATTCCACCCGAGGGCCTTGTGTTTGCCACCTGTGAGGGAGAAGTTAGGAGTGCGAGTGGCCCCTGGGTTACTAGGCAACTTAACCTCAGGGCCTCACTGTTCTCAGCTGTGAAATGGGGCTAGAACCTATCCCCACCTGGGTAATGGAAGGCTGTAGTGAGTGCGTGCACGCACGCACGCACGCACACACGCACGTGGTAACCCTTAGATTAGGGAAGGCTGTTCTCCTGTCCCCTCCAAGCTCTGTCGCCTGGCCCAGGCCCGCAGCCCTGGGCTCTCACCACAATAGTCTAGGTCGCAGTACTCGAAGTGATCAGGCCTCCCACTGACGTAGCACCAGGCGCCCTCCTGGTCCCCGTCTGGGTTGCGACAGAAGTTCTCCACCAGCGACACAGCCGGGCTGAAGTCCTGGTTGTTGCTCAGGGCTTTGGCCTGGCTGCTGGCCCAGTCCAGGCATGGGGACCCATGCATGGTCACTGCCAGGCGACCCTGGTAATGCTGGCCACGCTCAGGGACACACTGGTGTGCCGGGGGTGGCAGCTTCACCAAGGAGCCTCCTGAGCTTGGGATCTGCTCCACAGTGACGCCCTCTGTGCCTGGTGGGTGAGGAGGCAAAGGAGCAGAGTGGGTGGGACCACACATGGAGCCAGACCGCCGAGACCCGAGTCCCTGCCTTGCAGCCTTCTCCCCGCGTGACCTCAGGGAACCCTGTCTGCGCTTCCATTCGCTTGCCTACGAAAGGGGTCAGTGATGCCGGTCTTGCAGGTGTGTTGGGAGGTTTAAGCAGAATAAACCAGAGATGGTAACCAGGGTCCACCCCTGTAATCCACTTCAGGCTATCTGTAGTCTATTGGTAGCAACTGCCTGGAGTGTTTCCATAGGGGCACAGAGGGACATATAGGGGGATGATGAAGGATCTCCACGCCGCTCAGCAGGTCAGTTCTCAGCATGCTTTCTCCACCTCTTGACCTTGACCCTGTGGTTCCTCTGGCCATTGGGCCATGGGCAGAAGCGACAGCCAGTTCTAAACTTTGGCCTGGAGATACGTTGTGTACCGGCCTGCTCACCGGCTTGCACGCCTGCCATCACCACGGGAAGGCAGTGCCTGGCAGCCTCGGCCCTGGGTTGAGCAGACCTGGGCCCAGCCCACACAGGAGCCACCGGCCGAGCCCAGGTTCCGTCACGGCCCCACAGACAGGTGAGCAGCGCCGCCCCAGCCAAGAAGAACTAAATGCTTACTGGTGTGTGCCCCTGAGCTTTTGTGGCTGTTCCTGATTTTGCGAGTTTTGCAGCGTTATCGTGGCTATAGCTAACTGAGATGCACCATGGGAAATAATAATGACAGAATCTTGCAAGACTGGACTGGATGAGGCTTGCTCTGTGGTGTCCAGGGAAGGGCACGTGGACTGACATGGTGAGGGAGGGCTTCCGGGAGCAGGGAGCGCCTCGAGCAGCAGGGGACATGTGTCTGGGGTGAGCCACAGCCTGGAGCAGACGGCAGTAAAGCTGGGCGGGAGGGAGGGAGGGAGAGAGGAGGCCGGAAGCCAACTCTCTCTGGTCTCTTGACTTCTCTGACCAACAGGCCCAAATATGTGGCAGATGACCAGCCCCCCTTGAAGGCAGACACGGTCTTGGCTCCTGTCCCTGGCTGCCAGGCCACACGGAGACCCCTGCGCCTTGGCCCGCCGCAGCCCAGTTGCCCCCCGCTCACCGCAGACAGGGATGCTGCACTCCTCCCTCCGCACCGTGGGGTCCGATGTGTAGCACCAGGGGCCGGTGGTGCTGCCGTCTGGGTTGCGGCAGAAATTCTCCCGCAGGTCGGCGTCGGGGTGGGTGGTGACGTTGATTCTGGAAAAGGAAATCGCTCAGTGGGGGGCCGTGCCCCAGCAGCCCCGACACCCAGGTCTCCTGGCTCCCCATTCTCAGCCCGCCGGCAGGCAGGCCCATCACTCACTCAGGGTTATGTGGGTAACGACTCCTCCACAGCTGGCACTCGATGCCCGTCCGGGTTATGCTCTGGTTCCCTCGGTAGTTCATACCCAGGCCTTCCGCACAGTAACCTGCAGAGACCCCGGTCCAGTGTTCGAGTCCTGAGGATTTGTCCTCCCTCTCCCTTAACAAAGATCCATCTGTCCACCCACTCTAAGCTCACTCTGGCTCATGACCCTTAACCTGAACTTACTCCGCCCCTTCTCTGCACTCGGCAGTTCTCCAATGCAGCTAACAGTTGTCACCGAGTATCTGCTCAGTGCCCACCCTGTGACGATCCGCTGATGGGCCTGTGCCAGGACACGGTGACAAACAGGACAGTCCCGGCCCAGGCAGGCCCCTGCCCTCCCGGGGCCACACTGAGCAGCTCCACACGGCCAGCGGGATGGACAAGTGAACAGGCCTCATCTGGCCCCGGTCCACCTGCCTGTCATCTCAGCTCCTCACGCCTCAGGGCCTTTGCACGTGCCACTTTCTTTGCCTTGGCGCACTCTCTTATTTGTTCATCAGCACGTCTCAAGAATCCAGGTAAAACTCTGCTTCTCCTAGGGGACTGTCCCTGACTCTGTCAGCAAAGTCTCCTTCTTCTGGAGTTCTCGGGACCTTTCCAGCGACCACTTGGATGTCTAGTGTTTCCGTTTCCCTAGGAAACCCGAGTTCCCTGATTCTCTTCAAACCCCATCCCTTGTCTTAGCGCCGGCTGCCCAGCAGGGGCTCAGTGACATGTCTGTTGAATAAGTTAAATGAAAGTGTGGCCAGTAATGAAAGAGTCCATGTTACGGAGCCGGTGGTCACACTGACAGTGTATTCAAAAGGCTCAGTAAGGCACTTAAACCAGTCTTTGAAGGAGAGGGAGGTTTCCAGTAGGTAGTAATGGCTGCCCCAGGGAAAGACGAAAACGTAAGCAAGGGCCAGGAAGCCGAACCATCTGAGCACGCTGCAGGAAGCTCGGCTGGGGCCTGGGTGCGCGGCTGGTGCAGTTGTGAGGTGAGGCTGGAAGGGGAAGTGAAGGTTGGAACCTGCACAGTTCGCCGGGCCAGGAAGCTGGTGCTTGACTGTGGGAGCGAAGGGGAGCCGGCCAAGGTTTTGGGGAATGAATGTGACATCATTGGAGCTCGGCCCCAGGGCCATGGGGGAGCCAGACACGGGCCAGAGCCGGGATGGCAGTGAGGCCTTAAACATTAATTCATCGTCCACTCGTTCATTTGTCCCTCCGGCATGAACCATCTTATCGGCGGCCCGGCAAGGAGCCCAGTGTGAAGATTTGTCCTCGCACGGAGGGACAGAAAGGCAGGGTCAGGTGCTAAGAGCCGCCGCTGTCACAGGGCCACCCCTACTCAGCCCTTCCTCCAGGCTATCCCCGCGCACCCTGTGCCCCCACCCCCCCGGCAGCATCTCACCTTCCAGACATGCACCCAGCTTTTCTCGAGATGTCTTCACCGACTCACAGGCTGGAAAAGACCCAGAAACACCCTTGGGATTAGAGTAGGGGCGGGGGGGTTCACATAAAGGGTGGGACGGCACCCAGAAACAGAGCGATGGACAGACGGATGGAGGGAGGGAGAGAGGCGCGGGTGGGGGTGGCTGAACGGTGGGCCAGGTTCTCTAGCGTGGAGCGTCTCTGCCTGGCGTCCCCGGGACTCCCTCCCTTGCTGAAACAGGCCCTTCCCAGCGCTCACCTGTGTACTTGGCCCAGAACACATCCTGAAAAACAAGGGCTGAATGTGAGGCTGTGGCTGCCCCTGCTGTGCTTTGTGTCTTAGTAATGCCATGTCTTCTCCTTACACCTTCCTGTCCCCATTGCCCTGGGCGCATATGAATGGGCTCTGGGAGGTCAGTGGGAGCGTTCCCTGCTTTTGTTTCCCAAAGACCAAGCCCTCTGAGGAGAAAGGTGTTTGAGGACAGGGGAGCTCCTGCACCCCCAGGGGAGACTACAAGGGATTCCCCTGGGTGGGTAGAAGGGAGAGGAGGGGGCGTGGGTCCCTGGCAGGGGGCCCAGCAGAGCCCCAAGGAAGGGAACGGCTGTAAGGGCTCCCAGCCTCACCAGAGCCCCGCACCCACGGGTGGCACAGAGTTAGTTAGCAGAGAAGCTGAAGCTGAGAGGCCATGGTGGCCAGGGGCTCCAGGGATCCCCAAATAGCCCTATGTCTGGAAACAGAGAGGCCCCTCTGATGTCCTGGCGCCTCAGTGGGCCCTGGGACCTCCAGGGAAAGAGGTGTCACCCATCTTGGCAGCCCAGGGCAATGGGGCCCCCCCGAGACGGACAAGGTTGCGTTGCCAGCAAAGAGGGGTGGTGCTCCCTGCCCCGGTCACTGGAGCCCCAGAGCGGGCCGTGGAGAGAGGCGGGCGCTCACCGTGGCAGTGGTGGACTCCAGGGCCTCGAAGGCCTCCTCGCGGCTGCACTGCTCCTCCAGGCACTCCCGCTCCAGGTTGCCCTTGCGCAACTCCTCCATGAAGCCGCGGTTGGCCCGGCGGACCCGCTGGAGCAGCGACAGTGCGTGCTGAGGGGCCAGGAACACTGCAGTAGGAGGGGCGTGGGACAGTGGCTTGAAGAAGCCCGTCCCCTCCTTTCATGGTCACCCCCACCCCGCTCCCCAGGTTGCAAGAGAGAAGCAGTCACCAGGCGCCCAGGCCTGTGCGAGATGCCCCCTCTCAGCTGGATGCTGTGGGCAAAGGCCTCCCTGGAGGCTGGCTCTGGGTTCTCCGTGGAGCAAGGGGACCCCAGCCCACAGACCCCTCCCCCAGCCCGCCAGCCTGTCCCAGCTTCCGGGACCCCCTTACCATGCTGGCTGTGCACAAGGCTAAACAGGGCGACCACGGCCAGGCAGCCAGGTGGCCACAGCCCTCGGGCGCGTGCCATAGTGTGTGGGCTCCGGGGACGCTGCAGGCTCATTTTGACTCTCTGGGTTAATGTTAAACCGGCGTGAAGAAATCAGCTGAGAGGAAGAGGTCAGCCGGTCAGGGCCATGAGGACAAGTGAATAGATAGTCCACCCCACCATCAGGGGGCACAGGTTCTCCTGGGATAAGGGATGGGTGGTCTGGGAGGCAGCCACAGAGGAAACACCAGGGTAACCACAATCATCCAGCCCCTCCTTCCCTGAGACAAGGGCCATGTTGGGCCAGCAGGGTCATAAGGTCTGCCCGAGGCTCTTTCTAATCCTAACACATGGTGATGGTTGCTTTAATCTGTGTGCCTCGGTTTCCTCATCTGTACAATGGGAATAGCACTTTGATGTGAGGACTGAAGCCGATTCTGAGTGTAAGTCAGTGCTTAATACTCAGTAGGTGTGTGGCTGTAAACCAGGGGGAGGTCTGCGCGGTCACGACACACAGAAGGAGAGAGACGAGGGCGTGGAGAGATGAGTGCTGCCCGCCTTGCCCCAGGACACACTGGGGGCGGGAAGGCCAGCACTGCCTCAGCCTCTCGGCCGCCGGTGGAGGGTCAGTCCCCTCTTGTCCATCTGGGACGCTGTGGTTGTACGCGTTTGTGTACAGCTGTCACCTAGAAGGTGGAGCCAGGGCCAGGGCCTCTTAGGCCTCTGCTCTACTTCCTCTCACCTCGCAGGACCTGCTGCCCTGGGTCCCCGGGTTGGCAGGGGGGGGGGGGCGGTCAGGGCCCCTCCCTCCTCTCCCCCTGCCTGTCTGTCCCCTGGGCCAGACTAGAGCACCTGCTGGCTCTGCACCGCCCACCCAGCCCCGCTCCCCTCCCTCCCCCACTTCCTGTTTGTAGTATGCAAGGTAAATATTAGTCCTGGGGCTAATTAGGACAGAGGGACAAAGAGCAGAAACACAGGGAGCACAGGTTCTTGTCTCGCCCTCCTTCGGACCTGGGGACCTGGCCGGGCAGGGACGGGACAGCAGTCACGTACCTGTGCGCTGTCCGGGGAGATGGCAGGGAGGGGCTGGTGGAGAGCAGGGAGGACAGAGGATGGACAGAGAACTGCGGGCAGGACTCCCACAAGTCCGCTTAATTCCTGGGTGGCCCAGTGCCTACATGTATAGTTATATAAATTTATATTTCTAGTATATGTTCCTATTTCTCTCCTTCTATACATAAGTATATATGCACACACACACACACAGATATTTATGTATCTATGTGTATGCACACACACACATAGATATTTAAATTGAGGTTTAACTTATATGCAGTAATGCTAAAACAAACCCCTAGTGTTGAACTCAAGTTTTTATCGTGCACCCTGGAACCACCCGCAGATCAAGGGAGAGAACAGTCCCGCCCCGCCTGGCTCCTTTGTGTCGTCCCTGGGATTGACCCACATCACCACAGATCAGTTTGGTTGCCCTCTAAACTCACCTAAGTGGCAGCATTCAGCAGCGTTTACCTGGCCATGTCTGGCTTCTCTCACTCACTCCGTGTGTTTCTGAGATCCATGCCCATCATGCGTGACAGCAGTCATACCTTTTAAAGCTTCATGGGGACAGCATTTTACGGATCCACTTACCTGTTGATGGGCATTTGGGTTAGCTTCTAGTTTTTGGCTCTTGTGAATAACACTATGAATATTTGTGTACAAGTCTTATTTCTGTTGGGGACAGGCCCCGCGTGGCTTTGCTGGGTCCTAAGACGGGCGTACGATTCGCTTACGTTGCTGTGACTGGTGTCGCTGTGACTGGTTTTGCTGCGTGGTTGTACCGTTCCCGGGGTCTGGCCGTCCCAGCTGCTCCTTCCCTGGCCGGCGCTTTGTGCTGTCCATCCACTCACAGCTGGGGCTGGCGGTGTCTCATCGTGGTTTTAATTTGCATCCCTGCGTTTAGTGCCACCGAGCCTACCCTTTCTCCTTTCTTCGTGAGGTGGTGAGACGATCTCATCCCCCTGATTCCGATGAAAGCCCCACACCGCGCAGGGAGGGGCAGAGTGGCCAAGGGGGGGAGAGGGCGGCCCTCCCTCTTCTGAGGCCCAGGCTGAGCCAGTGCGCCCGGGGACACACAGGAGGAGTCGGACACCACCACAAGGACTGAGGGACATTCCACGGGACCAGCGACCCCAGTCTCTCTGACAAGTCCGTGCCGTGGAAATACTCGGGGTGTGGCGAGGGCGGCTGCGCGGGATGACGGAAGCCGGAGAGGGGCCGGGCGACCAGCTGCACGGAGGGAACCGACCTGCTGTGGCTGGTTTAGACTTTCAAACAAATCAACTCTGAAAAGACAAGAAAATTTAACAAATGAGAAAATTTAAATGTAGATTAAGGGGTTCTTTTTAACGAAAAAGTTTTTGTTAACTTAGAATGCCATGACACACGGTTGTACTTTCGCAGCCCTCACGCGGACGGCTCACACTGAAGGGTTCACAGCACAGCGGCGGGCGAGCACAGTGAGGACTGAGTGGGCTCAGGTTCAGGTTCGAGGGCCCTGTTTCACGGGAGGGAGACCACGCCCACACTCACTGCTCTGCGGGGGACTGAGGGACAGCGTCCCCTGGGCACGTGGCTCTGTAAGGACCGGAGAGTCCCGCCAGGCCAGGGTGGCGCCACCATCGACGCAGGGCTGCAACACACCCAGCACGCCCTTGATCTTCAGGGTCTCGTACAAGCCTCCCAGCCTCCAGGGACTGTTCTCAGAAGTCCCTGGGCCCAGGGGGCACCCTGTCCCTGAGTGTACCTGTTCCCCACAAGTGCATGACTGTGCACAGGAAGCAGACTAACCACCCCACCCCTCCCCGCCCAAGAAGGGTGGCGTGAGGGGCTGCATTTCTGCCCAACAGGTTGGCATCAAACAAAATCAGTAAGACCAGCCCTGCGCTGTATACAAAACTCACTGAAAACAGTTACACCGTGTTCCAGAACACACAGAGGACTTCAGAGATGGAAGAATGCCCGGACATTATTAAATCCAGAGATTTGGAAGCCTCAGGCTCTGTGCATACACTACAGGGTGGCCTTGTCTTCTAGGGTATTTTTGTAAACCCTCAAAACTGTAAATTTACCCTAAGACAAAAATAATGTGTTTCTCTTTTGGCTGAAGTCATGTCTCTTTTGGTGGTTAATTACAAGTTTTTCTCAATCTGATTAGCAGTTTCCCATTTTGATTAAAAAATATGAGTAAGTCCATTTCTATTTCATAGAAACCTTTTATTTATTTATTTATTTTTAGAAAGAAGGGAGGGAGAAAAAGAGGGAGAGAAACATCAATGTGTGAGAGGTGCATGGATCAGTTGCCTCTCACACGTCCGCAACTAGGGAACCTGGCCCTCAACTCAGGCATGTGCCCTGACTGGGAATTGAACTGATGACCTTTTTGGTCTGTGGAACAATGCCCAGACACCTGAGCCACCCCAGTCAGGGCAGAAGCCTTTTAAAAGATGGGATCCATAGAAGAAAAAGATTAGCAGGGTTCTGTGGTGGAGCTGAGATTGGAAACGGCGGGTTGATCCAGTCCCCCCAGGGCACTGTGAGGAATGCAGGGCTCTGAGTGGGGAAGCTGAGTGGTCCATGTCATACACGGAGAGCTGGCAGTCAAGTCAGGACTAACACCCAGACTCCCGCTGCAGGCCATCTCTCCTCCTTGCATGAACTTTGTCCTGACTTTGTGGTAGAGTGCAGCCTCACTGTAGTATGAAGTACACTCAGAGGACATGCCCCTGAGTACAAAACCATTGTGAGTGATGTCCGCCTGCTTGGAACCAGCAGTACCTATAGGAAACAAGGAAGTACCTTAACCTTGCTTGTCTTCCAGTTTAGGAGGGCCAGTTACAATACTATTAACAGCCAGCTACAATTTATCAATTGCTCACCATGTACCAGGTACACAGTACCAAGGACGTAGGTACGTATTTATGCCCACTGTATTGATTAAAAAACCAAGGCACAGAGAAGCTAAGTAACTTGCCCGCATTTATGCAGCTAGTCAAGGGCAGAGCCATGGCCCACACCTGAACCTGTCTGTAGATGGAGCTCTTTAACAGTCCATGCCTTGCTTTGCCGAAAGTCCTTAAATGTGATTCAGATTTTATTCTAAGATTTTCTTAATATTAAAGTTGCAGATCAGCCCCTATGTTCATTGCAACATTATTTACAATAGCCAAGATATGGAGTAACCCAACTTTCCACCAAACAGACCAGTAGAGAAAGAAGATGTGGTACATATACACAACCGAATACTACTCAGCCATAAAAAGAATGAAACCTTACTATTTGCAACATGGATGGACCTAGAGGGTTGTATGCTCAGTGAAATAAGTCAGACAGAGAAAGACAAATACCACGAGATTTTACTTGTATGTGGAATCTGAAGAACACACTAAATGAATGAACAACATAAACGCACAAACAAAACAGAAACAGACTCACAGATACAGAGAACAAGCCAGGGTCGCAGGTCGGGTGGAGAAGGTGAAGGGGCAGAGAAGTGCAGACAGGTAGTGGCCACAGAGCAGTCCGAGGGACGTAAAACGCAGCAGAGGGGACAGTCAGGGGCACTGTAACGGCTGCATGTGGTGCTAGGTGAGTACTGGAAATATCAGGGGAAGCACTTGGTAAATTACAAGTTGTCTAACCACCAGGCTGTCCACCTGAAACTAACTTAAGATGTAAACTGTAATTTTTAAAAATCGAGTTGCAGATCAGGACAAAAGACCCTCCTTGCCCGCACTGGCTGACGTTGGTGCAGCAGGACAGACACCGCGCGGCTCGGCCTGCGTCTGTGGGAAGGTGTCCAGCGATGTCTTCACAGCACCTTGGCCGCAAGCAGGAGGCAGCACTCCAGTCCGGCACTGTGTACACCACATTGTTAAAAGTAACATGATCCGGGGATGGAGGAAAGAAGGAAGGAACAGGGAACTTTTGACATTGTGATGACCAAGAACTGTTTTGAAATCAGGAGGAAAATATCTTCTCAAGTGGAGAAAGTCATTCCAGGGACCCACCTTCCC